TTTTGCTTTCTGAATCCTCAGGCAAGCTTTAATAAATCATAAATAATATATCACCACAAGGAAGATAAGGCAAGAAAAAGACGGTGCAAGGAGGAGTTTACATTCATCTTTTTTCCAAATTTTTTTATTCTTGAGTGGCCTTAAATTCATGCCTCCCCGGAGCACTGGATTCCAGATGTGTGTGTTATCACCAGTGTGGAGTAAGTAATGCTTCCTTTCAAGGCATTCCACACTGAAATGTCCTTTCCACTTTTGCTCCTCTCAAGACCATCTTGAGATATACAGAGCAGGAGGCTAAAGGAATAATTTAAAACCGGAAATATAAGTGTTCTGGGTTAGTTTCAATTTTTGGGAATCTGTCACCCAAAGCAAAATGTTCACTTTTGTCATTTAAAGCAACTTGGGGGAAAAAAAGGGACTTTTAGAACTAAAGTTAGTTCAACGGCATCTGAACTCCAAAAGAGCCTCCACTTCCTTCTGGCCTCCGGTTGGCTCTTTGGCACAGTTGGCCTGTTACCACCCATCCTAGTGGGTCATCCTACAGCAATGGTGCATTGTTACCACGGTCTCCTTGCAAAACAGCACTCTCCAACACCTGCACAGTGTTTTCCCAGATTCCTTTCTACCCACTGCACAGCCTAGCTGGCCTTAAGCAAGGCAGTTCACTCTGGTTCCATAGCAGGGATATTTGAGCTCTAGCCCCAGCTTGTCACTGCCTTAGCCCCTCAGAGACACAACCCTACTTACCCCACAGACTGGAGTGAGAAGCAACAGAAGCAAACACATGAAAGCAAATGATCCTTTGTTTTTAATCCAGTGCTTGACAGCATCATTTGCTTAAAAGAAACTTTCAATTTGAAATTATGTAAGTATTTACAAAATAGTGAATGAGAGGATATAATGAAGTTTCATTTGCTATCAGACAGCTTCAAGGGTGATTCCCCCAACTCATTATTGACCTTCCTCCATACCTCCGTCCTCCTGAACCTGTAGGTGCAACACTGAGATTTTATGATACAAGGAGTTGTTCATTTTGGGCTATGATACTTTTGTTAAAAGTCTAGGTCTTACTCTGTATCCCAGGCTGTTCTCAAATCCACAGACTCAAGAGATCCTCTAGAGGGCTGGAACTATGGGCATTGTGCCACCAGGCCCAGATTGTACAGGTTTTGAAAGGGGAGTTTGGATCATTCAGAGATACATAGAGATGAGGTGGGATGATGCCCAGAGTCACACCATCAATGTTTTCTCAAGCTGTTCTGTAGATCAGCAGCAGACAAAAGGTTTGTGGCATGATTTTCTTTGTGTGCCAAAATAACTGCCAAGGGAGATGTAGGTAGTGGAATCTGAGAACTGAGTTTCACATACCTAGCTCTAAGGCTGCCTTTGACAAATGGGAAAGAATAATGAACAAAATCTTAGCTTTCTCATTCTTTGTCCCAACTGGTAACATCCCTCAATGACAGTAAAACTGAGCAGTGTCTTAGGTCACCCTCCTCCAGTGTGGTAATAGCAATAATGCTAATGCCTGCTTATAATAAGCACCTACTATGTACTAGGGGATTTGTACAGAGCATTTCTAATCCCTAAAACTGCCCAAGTAACATATTACCAGAGCCTGAGTATGTAGATGAAAAGATGAGGCTCAAATAAATGAGTGTCCAAAGATAACTTAGCTCTAAGGAGCCTGGATTCCAGGTCAGTTGATTCCAGAAGAACTTCCAGTGGGCTGCACTGTCTCCAGGAAGCACCCAGCAAGTAAGACATGTGAAGGCAGAGAATATATCCCAGTAGCAAACTTCTCTCTGTTCATGTTTCAGGCAACAATTCGATCAGTTTTGTTTGTTGAATCTCTCAGGGACACATCTGACATCTACTCACTGGAAAATTCCTACATACGTGCTCGTGCGTGTACACACACACACACACACACACACACACACACACACACACACACACACAGGCCTTTTTACCATGTCCTCATTCCTCAACCTACATGGAAATGTATTCTTGCCCCTTGCCTATTCTGACATACCCTCTGTATGTCCAGCCCTGGCTGATCTTTGCTTAACGGAAAGCTTGTAAGCATTCTATGGCAGCCCCTCAGTCTGGGACTCCTGCATATTTTGTAAGCCAGTCAAAGCCTCCTTCATCTACCAGGCCATAGAGAACAACAAACATCACACACTGCCTATGAGTGCATGCATCCTACAGAGGAGGAAAGGGGACATTCAGCATCTGCTGCCCTAGGCTCTGGCTCCTGGCTCTGGCCCCAAAGAATTGAGAAATATTTTTGAGACTTCTTTGCCAGCTTTAATTAATGTCCCCTTTCATTTCCTGGCCTATGTCTTCCACCCTGCCTTCTGTGTACCAGATTATTTCAGCCTATGACTGTTACCTGCCCCGACCATTCCACCTGATTTCCAGGCCTGTCTCCTGTCATGTGCACCACCACTTCTCCTGCCGTACAACCAGAACAAGAACTTGACAGCCTTGAAATGAACTCGTTCATTCCCAGTCCTCTCTCCATTAAGGCTTCTTGTGTCCCCATAACCGACTTGTCCTCATTCTAAAAAGCTCACCATTGTTTCTGTCTTCTCCCTACTGAGAAAGCAAGTATTCAAACATTTGCTGAATGGATCAGGGAATGAATGAGTCCTATCATGAATCACACTGCTTCATCAGGAAGATTCACAATAATCCAGCCTCGTTCTTTTCATATTCAAACAACTTTGCATAAAAGAAAACTCAGAATCTCTTTACCTTAAAGCTGCAGTCATCTCCATAGCTGGCAGACTAATGAGCATATTGCAGCCTGTTCTGGGGAGACTGCTTTCCCACTAAATGGAGCTCACGCTACCTTCTTTTTGAAAGCTGAGTAAATAATACAGCAGTGCACTTTGAGGTCATTTTCTTGCCTTACCACAGGATACTCTATAATGTTAGTATACATTGTTATGTAGCCATCCCCAGATTTTGAACATTTGGATTGCTTACAGAATTTTATTCAGTTAATCAAATGGCCTGATTAGCTTATATATGGAGAAAGTAGCACTGAAGGGGGAAGGATGATAGGGATGCTGCTGAGCAGGAGTGAGAAGGGAGTTTCTATTGAATGCCCTCTTGTACTCTGAGCCCTGTGAGCATACTAGCTACTCAAATTACATGTGCTGAGAGCTTATTGTCTACCAAGTGTGCCACTAGGCCCTGGATGTTGACATGGGGTCTAAGACACACAGCCTAACTTTTGGTATGTGCTCTCCTAAAAATGCCTTAGAGACTCAGAGAGCCCAGTTTTCTCAGGGAATAACATTTTCACTGAACCTTGAAAGATAGATAGGACTCAGGCTGATCTGAGACTTCCATGGACAAAAAGAGGCCTAGCTTAGGGCACATTGAAGAACAGGGCTATATGTAGTACGGAAAATAAACCCTTACAAAAATAAAAGCCAGGGTCTCCTTATGTAGTCCAGGATAGCCTAGACCTTGCAGTGATCCTCCTGCCTCAGCCTTCTGAATGCTGAGATCACAGGCATGTATCACCAAACTTGGCTAATGAGACGTTTAAGGACAGAAATGACTGTAAAAAGGGGTCCAAACCCAGTCTCTGGGGCTTGGAGTTGATCTCCAAGGCAACAGCATCTTCGAAAGTTTGAAATAGGCTAGAGATACAGTAAGAGTGGTTTTGTTGTTTGTTTTGTTTTTATTCTCTTATTTTTTGTGTGTGACAGGATCACATTAGATAGGCCAGGCTGGCCTGGGATTCACTATGTGGCCTCAAACTCACAATTCTCCTGACCCAGCTTTCTGGGTGCTGCTATCTGCTTGCTTTGGTTTTCATTTTGTAAGAACAGTCTTTGACCGAAATCCCTCTAAAGGTAGTGTGGAGGCCAGTGGACAGCCAGCCCCTGAAGTACTGGAAACAAGGGGAAGAACAGAAGCTGGAAGGACTCTTTGTTCTTCTTTGCCCCAGGTCATAGCAAGTTCATCCGGAAAGCTCTTGATCCTGGATGACTACTCAGTCTCAGGCAACAGGAATGTTTTATTGCCTAAACCAGGCCCTAGAAGCCACTGTGCTGGCCTGCTGTAATAAGTGACCCAGTGACTCATGCCTCCAGGGATCCTGAGAACCCCATCTAGGCTGCCCTTTGCCCTCTCAGATCCCTTATTCAACCACCCCTCCTGAGCCTCCTTTACTATACTCTAGACCCAGGGACCTCAGACACAAAGGGACTCGTGAGGAACAGCTCTGCTTATCCACCTTCCAGGCTTCTCTCTTCTCCTGTTCCCTAAGCCTGAAGCTTCTCTCAGAGGCAACTGCTCCCTACATGGCAGCAAATCTCTGCACTTTTGTGTAAGATCTCTCTATACTCTAAGAAGCCAGGCTCTTCACATCCAAGCCTATTAGATCCCCCTGCACATGCCACTCCTCCCTGCCAAATTCCAGTACCACAGAACAATTTTGGGCTCAAGACACCATCTAAGGGGCTTTCCAGATCGCACATCAAATCCTCAAGGCAAATAAATGCAAGCAATCTTTTCTGTTTAGTTGTTTGGTTATTGTTTTGTTTTTTGAGACAAAGTCTTACCTGTCCCAGGATGGCCTCAGTCTCACTATGTAGTCAAAGATGACCTTGAGCTCCTAATTCTCCTGCCCAAGTTCTGGGATTACAGGCATGTGCCATCACACCCAGCTATGTGTGATTAATATCTTCTACCAAATGAAAAAACTAAGACACAGGGAGTATATACATAATCCCTTTATTGAACACATTTTAATTTTTTATTTTTGAGATTATAATATAACAACATCATTTCTCTTTTTCCTCTCTCCAAAGCTTCCCATATACATCTCTGGCTCTCTTTCAAATCCATGACCTCTTTTTCATTATTTCTTATTGCATGCATATATGTATATATGTATGTATGTATGTACATACATATTCCTAAATATAACCTGCTTAGTCCATATAATGTTACTTGTATGTATGTTTTCAGGGCTGACCATTTGACCCTAGACAACTAATTGGTTTCCCCCGGGGGGGGGGGGGCACCTTTCCGACTCCAAGCTTTCCTTGGTTGCCTGTAGTTCTGTGTAGGGTTGAGGCCTCTTGGGCTTTCCCCTGTCCATTTTGGCGTGTGCATTGGTGTCGTTCCACTCATGTTTAGGCAGTCATGTTGGAGAGACTTTATGGGTAGAGCTTCTGAAATTAAGAGACACAATCTCACAGCAAACTCCATGATTCTCTGGCTCTTACAATCTTTCCACACCCTCTTCCACAGTGTTCCCTAAGCCTTAGGTGTGGGAGAATTTTGTACATGTATCCATTAGGAATGAGCTCCACAACTCTACATTTTGATTGGTTGTGATTTTGTGTAATGGTCTCTTGTCTGTTGCAAAGAGAAGTTTCCTTGATGAGGGGTGAAGACTACACTTAACTGTGGGTGTCAGGCAACATGTCTAGAATGTACTTAGGGATTGTGCTGGTTTAGTAAAGTGGAGGTTGTAGATTCACCTCCAATAGCCATGACTTCACTAGCACTGAATAGGTGGCAAGGTTTCCAGTATCAGACATAGTTTCCCTCATGTTGAATTGGTCTTAAGTCCAATTAGAGAGATGTTGGTTACCGCCAAGGTATACTTGCTACTACTACATCATTAGAGATACCATGCTACGTTTATACAGTACGTTTTAATTAAGGTCATATGTACTATATGCTTGGTATTTCCCTGGGTTTCAACAACATGTATTCTGAGTCAAGAGTAGGGTGGTGAATGAATAGGAGTCTATATATCACCAGTAAATAGTTTAGGACCACCAGGGAAGTCAAAGAAGATGGAAGAGAAGGCTCTTAGCTGTGTGGCCATGATTGAGATACTTTTACCTCCTTGGAGACCAGAAGTTCTAACCTCCCTCATTGGTTCCAGCAGCATTTACTTGAGTAAAGTTTACCCTGTGCTGGGTGGCCCTGAGCTATAAGTTAGGGACACAGAGATGGGAGACAGTCTGGTCCTGCCCTTGTTCTGATTCTATGTGTGACCTTGAGACTTTCCTAAATTTCCTCCATAGCCCCATCTAAAAGTGGAGAGGAGCAAAGACATGATCAGTAAGAGCCTCAGAGCTCTTCATGGTGTGGGTCTTGTCTGTCATGGGCTCTCCAGGCCCCTTCACATCTGCTTTCCCCAAGAGAGCCAGGCTTTCCTCCCTTACCTCTCTCTCCTCCCCTGGAAATTCTCAATAGACACGGTCTTCCCTTGGTGTGACCAGGAAGCTCCAAGCAGCTTGAACCCCAGATAGCTCAGGAGGAAGAAAAGAAAGAAAGGGCTGCTATATCAGGGGGGCTTCCAGGTATACCGACAATGAAAGCACTCCTAGCTTAGCAGAAAGCATCCCTAAGCTCACCTCTGAAGGGTCACATTAGTCAGACCGGCAGTGACAGCTTGCACATTCCCCTAGGCAGGGCAGATGGATCAGTACTCTCACACTTGTGGGACATTTGACATCAGTTTTTGTTTGTAACTTTCAGTTACACTCAGCGGGAATTTTTGACCACCTTCTGTATTCAGGGCCTTACACAGGGAATATTGATCTTTTCCAAATCCAAGTATATACACATTTTTGAGAATTTTTTAATGTCTGTCTCTTCTGTTAGACCCTAAGCTTATTGAAGTCGGAAATTATGTCTGTCTTCTTCCTCACTGAACTCCCAGTACATAACCACAGTGACTTACAAGCAATATCATTCAATAGATAATGACAGAAAAAAAAAATTCTGAGGTCTGGACCTTGGAATCATCTTTGATTTTGCAAAGACCAGTAGGCAGAAGATGACCCTTAACCAGAAACAAACAGCCATTAATTAGAAGGAAAAGCCTTGTGTTGAGTAGGTCATGATCATTCACTCATTTAATCCTCACAATAACATTGTGAGGCAGGCATTCTCATTGTCTTCATTTTACAGATGGGTAAACCAAGGCATGGGGAGTAACTAACTTGTGTCTGGGCTCAGATCTGAACTCCTATCGTCTTGCTCTGAAGTCTGTGATTCTACCCACTCTACTGCCTTCCAACATGAATTCTCAAAAGGGGGCATGGGGTATGGTGGCACTGGGACTTCAAGCAGTGTTTTTCCTGCTTTGCTGTATGGTGCCTGGCTACTGATTTGGAATCCCTGAAAACAGATGCACAAAGAGGAACTGAGGAAGTGCAGATATGCATGCTGAAAAACAGCTCTATTGGGCTGGGTAGCTGTCAGCTGAAGGAGCCAGGTTGGCCACTAGAGCAGAAACAAATGTGGCTTCTAGGTCCCTTTTCTGAAGCAGGTCCTATCAGCAGGCTGCTTTGCAGAGTTTCTAGGTAAGGTGAACAAAGCCATTCTTTTCTCCTCAACTACTTAGAAGCCATCCAACAGCTAAATCTACCTAAGGTCACTGCTGCCTCATCAAAATCAGTGTTTCATGTACAGAAAGGAAATGTATCAGTCTAATGTGCAACCTTACTCGTGTAGGAAGTTGGGGCGGAGCAGGGAGTCAGGAAAACTGGAGGAAAGGTTAGGTCAAGTCTGACAAAAGCTCAGCAGCTAAGCAGTCCTGATAATAAGAGATTAAAGCAAAGCATCTGACATCAGCTGCATCTCAGTGGCTTGGGGCTTCTGGTTGGGCTTCTTGCCACAGTGGAGCAGCACTGAGACCATGGCCTTTTTCTCCCGACTAGACCTGCAGGAAGGCCTCCGAACACTCTCCGTTTTACAGTGGATTCCAGTCTATGTGATTTTAGGTAAGTAAACTTCAAGGGCCAGAGAACAGATCCAAAAAGAGGCCAGGCATCCCACACTAGGAAGGCTCTGGTGCCAGCACTTGCTTGGGTCCTTTCCACCCCCTCTGTGGGAAGGACTGGAGTGGAGGCCAGAGGCGAGGAGGGAGCCTATATCTGTGCTAGTTTAAAGATTATCCCAGTCTTCTCAGGAGTTGTCCCCTACACATTATCTGAAAAAGAATCGTATTTGAGAGTAGGCCAGAGTGGTGGTTGCCTGATAGGTTGGTGTTACTAGAAAGATGTATGGTGATTTCCCTATTATCAGAATGTTGTGAAAGAATTCTGTAAAGTCCAAGGGCTATGTGAGTGATATTAGATCTGCAGGAAAAGCTAGCTGATGTTCAGTGGACTCGATGATCAGTGTTGGGCTAATGGGCTCACAGAATCAAGTCAAAAGCCAAGGCTTTCTGGGAGGCCAACTATAGAGGCAAGCTTAGAAACTGGGTGGGGAGAAGTAATGGCACCCTGAGTGATGAGATGGGTAGGAAACAGCTAGTGCCAAATTGCAGCCAACTGTATGACCTGTTAGAGCAGAGGGGTTGTTTTGTTTTGTTTGTCTGTTCTGTCTTCAAGATAGTGTCTCTCTGTGTATCTCTGACCATCCTGGGACTCACTCTGTATACCAGGCTAGCCTCAAACTCACAGAGATCTGCCTGCATCTGCCTCCCAAATGAGAACAGAGGTTCTTAACAGAGGGTTGTAGACTAAGAATTCATGGGTAGCTTGGGAACTTTCAGTTTTGTGGAAAGAAGTGTGGCTTTACTGTCATTCATCTCTAGGTAAGATGTAGCCATTCCCTCCGTGATGAATGGAAGCAATAAGCCTTAGGCGTGATAACAGCACCTCTGATTTTGTCAGTAGCAGACATGGCAGAGATTTGCATTTCATTCAACTAGTTGTTTGTTAAAGCCATCTCAAAATTTTGCTTATGCTGATGATTACTTCCAAATTCCAGTAGTTATTAGAACTGCCATTCAGGCTAGTTTCTTAATTCATAGAGCAAGAAATTACTGTATCACGTTGTGAGTAATGTAATAGCTGTGTCTTAATATAGTGTCCTGCCATTGTATGTTGAGTATGTTATTGAGGGACTTAGGAATATTATTCAAAGAAGGGTTTTGTATACTTCATCAGACTGTCAGAAGGGATCCATAGTCCCTAGAAGGTGCAGACTTGAAAAAAATTCACTAAATCAAATCATGCTGAGCTCATCATCTGTTTAACTTTAGCTGTTCAGGAAAAGGAAGTTAAACCTGGTGAGTTTTTTTGTCAGCAGGTAAAAGGGTCTTGCTGATCAAGCCTGACTTCAATCCCCAGAGCCCAGAGCTGAACGCAATAACTGACTCCTTCAAGTTGTCTTCTAATCTTTACACAAACAACATGGTACATGTGCCCCTACACTCATGTGCATCACACATCATACACATACACAAGTAACGATAATGATGATAGTAAATAATAATAATAATAGATAAATACACTTTAAAGAAAAGGAAGTTAAAAACAAGCAGGCCTAGTGGCCCACACCTGTAATTCCATCACTTAGGAGGCCTAGGCAGAAGGATTGCATTTTCGGGCTAGCCTGGGCTACACAGGGACTCATGAGTTATAAGCCAACATGATCTATAAGACCCTTTCTCAACAATAAAAGAAGGAAGGATAGATGGATGGAAGGGATGGAGGGAGGGAGGGAGACAAAGGGAGGGAGGATGGGACAGGAAAGAAAAATAAGTTATTTTTGGCAGAACTTTTGTTTTTATTCCTTCATAGTTTCTTTCTGTTTTCCTTTGCATTTTATTTAACTTTCTCAAAATGACCCCCATGGGTAAGTTCTTCCCCTCTGGTAGAAAAATACAGGACAGAGGAAGGTCAAAAGAGATGTAGTGTTGGGTTGACAGCCACTGTTTCCAGTCTAGATCTCAGAAAGGGTGAGGGGGGAAAGGGAAAGGGAAAGATTAGAGGAAGTAGGGAAAGCAGAAGCGCTGTGGGCACCAGGTATGGTTCAGTGTAAAGCACTGGCTTCAACCCCAGCACCATGAAAAGAGGGGGAGGGGAGAGGTAGGGGCATGGGTGCTTTCAGGCTTGAGGTCACCTTGGTATGACACTTGAACACACATGCTCCTATCATTCTGGCTACTCTGGACAGCTATTTTCAGTACAGTGGTTTTACTTTGCTTCTAGAAGTTAACTCTCGGGCTTTCTTTTTCTTACTCCTTTTTCCCTTTCAAAGGACACGGTCTTCAGCAGGACTAGAGTAGAGGGTCTATCAGGCAATGCCGTATGTAAGGAATCAAGAAGGCAAGGGGCAGCAGCCTCTTCCCCACGAAAGCTCACTGGCTCCCAGTCATCCTGGAAGAGTTAGAGGAGTGGAATGGGAATGCTAGAGACACATGATGGCACCATTGTGTCACCAGTGAAAACACATAAGCATAATGTGGATTTTTTTCATGTGCATTGTTAATTTTTTTATTATTATGACAAATATAGAGATAATTCCTTGTTTTAAGCAGCAGTTCAGTTGCATTAACTACTGTGTTGCACAGTGTTCTGTAGTGTTCTACAGCCATGCCCCAAATTTTTCATCTTCCTAAACTGAAACTCTGTACCCATCAAGCCTTGAATTCGTAGGTTCCTCTCCCCCAGCTCTGGAAACCACCATTCTAATCTCTGTTCATATGAACTTTCCTATTGTAGATGATTATGTCATAGTCACTTTTGTCACTAGCTTATTTCATATACCATAAAACCTTAAAGTTTATTCATATGGTAGCATGTGTCAGAATGTCCTTCCTTTTTAAATCAAACATCACTTGTATGGATATACTGAATGTTGTGTATTCGTTTGTTTTTTAATGAGCACACTTCCCTCTCAGCTATTAGGAATAATGCTGTTTTCAGTAGGAGTGTCTACCACCCTCTTTGAAACCCTGTTCTCTAATCTTTAGGATATACAAAAAAAGAGGAATTTATGGGCTGTATGGCAATTCTATTTGGTAATGTTTTGAAAAACTGCCAACCTGATTTACACAGTGGCTGCACCATTTTCTTCTCCCAACAGTGCACAAGGGATCAGATTTCGCTGCATCATCACCAATACCCTTAACTTCTGGGTTTATTACCATCTTAATGGGTGTGGAGTGAAACCTCACCATAGTTTTGATTTGCATTTTCCTAATGACTAATGGTACTGAGCATATGTTCATGTGTTTCAATCAACTAACAAACTTTTCAGCCACTGTACACATTTCACATACTAGGGCTGGGCAGAGACCCAAATCACTATGCTGTAACATGGACTATAATAATTGAAAGAGCCGGATACATGGGAGAGGGCCTAGGCCCTGCCCAGGATAATGTGGTGGACTTTGGGGAGCCCCCATGGAGGGCCTTATGCTCCCTGGGGAGCGGAGTGGGGATGGGGTGGAGGGCTGGTGGGATGTTGGGGGGAGGGAAGGGAGAGGGAGAAGGGATTGACATGTGAAGCAAGCTTGTTCCTAATTTGAACTAATAAAAAAAATAATTGAAAGAGCCATGATAAAGAAATATGAGGCCAGATAAAGAAAATCTTGCAGGTTGAGGAGGCTGAAAAGGGAAGCAGACTGGCATGGTGAGCAGGTCATGAGTCCTGGAGTCCATCAGAGTGGGATTAGAGTTCACTGTGTGACTTTGGGACTCCTATAAGACTTAGTATCATCATCACTTTAGCTGGGTTCACAAGCAATGCTCTGCATGAAAAAAGTCTCCCTCCTTCCTCTTTTTCTCTTTCCTTTGTTCCTTCTGTGCTCTGAGCCTCCCCAGTGCTTCTCTCTGAATGATATGCAGAATCTTAGCCAATATCAACCGCTGTGAGATGTTAGATGGAAGAATAGGGAAGACGGGAAAGTGAGAGCAGAAAGGCAAAGGGACAAGTAGGATGGAGAGAGTGAGAAGAGAGGATAAGAAGATGAGTTAGGGAAGATGGAAGCTCTGACAGCCCTCTGAGGTCCGGCTTTCTTTCTGAGGCTTGCTCTCTGTGTCTTTTCTGTGTTGTGGAATTTTATTTTAAGATGTGTTACATTGATTTATGCTTCAGAATATTTGTTTTAATGATGCAAATATATGTTGTGTTCTTTTATGTTGCATTTGTTTAACTGTGTAAAGCTGTGTTATTTTGCCTGTCTAATTTGTCTAATAAAGAGCTGAACGGTCAATAGCTAGGCAGGGGAAAAGATAGGCAGTGCTGGCCTGCAGAGAGAATAAACAGGAGGAAAGAAGGTGATTGGGGAGTGAATGGAGAAGGAGAGGAGGACTCCAGGGGAAAGTGACACAGCTACGCAGAAAGCCACAGAGTAAAAAGAAAGGTATATAGGAAGGCAAAAGCTCAGAGGCAAAAGATATATGGGATAATTTAAGAAAAGTTGGCTATAAATAAGCCAAGCTAAGGCTAGGCATTCATAGGAAAGAATAAGCCTCTACATATTTATTTAGGAGCTGGGTAGTGGGTCCCCAAAGAGTAAAAAGCAAAGAGGCAAAGAGTACAAAAAAAAAAAAAACACTCCACTTCTGGGCTTGGAGTTGCCATCTCTCAGAGCTATGAAAAATAGTTCTGGCCTTCTAGTTTCTAGTCTCCACCGTCTCCAATCTATCCTACTGAATCTACCACAAGTCTCTCTGTCTGTCTGTCTGTCTCTCTCTCTCTCTCTCTCTCTCTCTCTCTCTCTCTCTCTCTCTCTCTCTTCCTCTCTCTCTCTCTCTCTCCTCTCTCTCTCTCATGATCATACTGAACTAGATTCCTAGTGCCAAGAACCTTAAAAAAACTGATCATATATGTTTCCTGCTCAAAAATAATGGTTTCCTGTGGCTAGCTTGATGATGTACAAGTTTAGTAACCTGGGCATCCTTGACCATCTCCACTCTCTGGCTCTGACCCTGCATCAGCTCATCTCCCTTTGTCAACCTTGTGCATTTCAAGCAATCTACTC